ATTTAATCATAAAAAAATTAAGTTAAACTTGGTCAAAATATAATTAGATAAATCAAATTATAATTGCATAAATTGTCTAATATTGGCTTCGAAGTATTCTTCACTCACCACTAATTAAAGGTAATTAAAGTAACAAGTAACCCAATTTTATGACTAGTCTTAGCATTAGAGAATCTAAATATTAATCATCATCTTCTCTTTCAAAAGTTAAATTAAATATTTGTTTATTTCAGGAGTAGTAATATTAATATTTTTCGAGAAGTTCGACATTCCTAATAAACTTAGACCGGACGTGGAAATAGAAAGGTGATCGGAACCGTCCAACTATTAACCAGGAAACTGGACGGTTCCGATCGAATGAATGGCACTTCCGTTAATATATTCTTCTGGTGCACCATTTCAGTCACTTCACTGTGCATCCTTCGGCGCTCTTTTACCAGGGTTTCCAGGTTCCGCCATTCGGGTTCTTCGCCGACCTCCAAGTTTCCGACGCGCGCTAGAGTAAGAATCATCTCGTTCTCCTTCCTTTTTGAATGGTTCATTCTCTTCATTTTGGGTTGTGTACTGGTCGCTCTTGCTCTCTTGGTGATGATCTGTTCTCAGATCACGAAAGCGAGCATTTGCGGTTCAAAGATCTCGTCTCTTTTCATGCAATTTAACTTTCGCGAGCTTAAATATTGGATCTTCTTGAATAATATTTGAGGGGAGCGTTGATTTTTGTAGCCATTGTTTGATACGTTAAGTGTTTATAGTTTGTCTGGGATGTGTCGGGGAAACGTTGATGGAGTCTCATTCTTGCTTTTCTGTGATGAAGGCTGTTTGTGAGCACAGGAGGAAGCGATGGCACCTCCACAGCCGAAGACGGGTCTCTTTGTCGGGCTGAACAAGGGGCATATTGTCACCAAGCGGGAGTTGCCCCCTCGCCCTTCCGGCCGGAAAGGGGTAAGCATCTGACTAAACATACCTCTTTTTTCCGCGATTCGTCCTCATAGTATAATGCTTTCAGTCCTTTTTTTTTTAATACCGATTCCCAAAATGAAATCTTGATGAATTTGCCGTCATGTATTATACCACGTAATAAATGTGCATATCAAAGACATACCATGCTCTTATGTTTAAATGAGCACATTGTTAGACTTCAGAATCAAAGTTTAGAATCAGTATAGTGGCTTAAATCGTGAGTTGTGTGTTCACATGGCCATTTCAAAATTAGCCCAAGCCATAATGTGAAATTTTATGTTGTTCATGAACCTCATGTCTGAGTTACCTATCGAGTTTACATTACCTTTCTCTGGTGAGAATCCATCTAATGATGGTTTGCTATGAAATAAAGTGATTTCTTCTCAGTGAGGTTCATTATTTTAATAAATGCGGATAAATCATTAAATCAATTTGTTTCAAGCCGTTTTAAGTTGATGGGAAATACATAGGAGATACTTAATTCGACAGAAAAATCATTTGCAAGCAATGCTTCCTTTAACATGGATGTTTCTTTTGCCAGATTTAGTATGCCCAAGAATTTTTTAGATCTTTCTTCAGTCGAATGAGATCGGCAAGTCCTTTTAGTTTGCCAATGAATGTCTACCTTGTAACCTTGCTCACGTTTCTTTGTGGGAAGTAAATCTGTAATGCAAGTTGTGACAAGTATCTTGTTGATTGGCATAATGTTTAGGATTTAGTTGTATTTTAAGAAGCATGCAAGGAATGGCCATTTGTTTCCCTTGGCTAAATCTGATATTGTGCCCATTTATTTATTGCTTCATAACCTACATTAAGTTTTGATATGAATAATTGAACCAGGTTAATATGTTGGGATTAGATTTATTGGCAGATGTTTGCTTGCTGCATATTTACATTCATGGATATAGGAGAGCTTCTATGGTTTCTTTGCAGTTGATTTGGAAATAGCTTCATCAATGCAGATTCAATAATTGCTTGTCTGTACTCTGTAGTTGTTCATCTAGGATGAAAGAATATGGGGACGGAGCCACATAGTCTGGGAGCACTTCCTTTTTAGGTTTAGTCTTAATCAAGTTCCATCATGATTAACTTTTAAAAGGATAGTTACCTGAGAGTCTTAGACCATGGCTTCTAAGATAATTTTGTTCTCTTTTTGGTAGGGAAAATGACTTTTTTGTCATAACATTTATATCCAACTCGAACTTGATTTGGTAGCTCATACAACTATGTACAATCTGCATTAGTAGCTCAACTATAGCAATATCCTTTGTTGCATTTGCCAAGCGCTGCTGTTTACAAGTGTGTTCCTTGTGGCAGCTTGGTTTAAACGAGTATCAACATTGTCCATGTTCGGAAATTAAAAATCATTGCTACGTGAGATCACCAGAACTATTATCCTGGCAAATGTTCTTCCCAAATGTCAATGTTAAATCATACGACTCATCATTAAATGATTAGCTTGGAGTTTTTGAATATCTCATCCACCTTATTTTCTCGTATTAAACTATGTCTTTCTCTGTGGGTGCTCAAATTTTTTCTTGTATCCTGTAATTGGAACAACTACATGCTTGCTGGAATTTCTTATTTAGTAAGAGTCTTAGGTGACAAGTTGAACTATATCAACTCATTGTGATGGCTTGGATCAAATGGTACTGTGTTTTCATGTCTGAAATGATGTACTATCATCTTTACCAGAAAACCAGCAAGAGGGTCCATTTTGTCAGAAACTTAATCAGGGAAGTTGCTGGGTTTGCTCCTTATGAGAAAAGAATTACGGAGCTTCTCAAAGTCGGAAAGGACAAGCGTGCTCTGAAAGTGGCAAAGCGAAAGTTGGGGACACACAAGAGGGCCAAGAAGAAGCGTGAGGAGATGGCTAATGTTCTGAGGAAGATGAGGTGAGTGTTAGTTTTTCTCTTCGCTCTTATGCTTCTTTTTAGTATCTGGATACTTTTTTAGTATACAGGGATGTGGTTGACGAAACCAATATGCATACTGATACTGAACTAATCCTAACCAATGTGGTTGTTCAACATGCAGGTCTGCTGGAGTGAGTGAGAAGAAAAAGTAGTGTGGATTTGCAGCTAGACAGTTTCGGAAATAGATGAGGCACTAGGTTCCAATTCTGTAGGAAACAGTGACATGATTTTTGTGTGTTCTGTTCTGTGAGCTTCTACTTAATCAGACGATTACCGCTGAAGTAGTTTCTTCGGCCACCATAAATTTTGACATGACATGATTTAATTGCATCCGAGTTCGTTTATCTCTGTCAGCATATTGTGTGGATCACCTTAAGTGTGGAACTGCCAGATACGCAAAGACAGCGAATGCCATAATTCAGTATTTGTGTTTGACTTCTTGATTATTTCATGATTTCTTTTCCTTAATTCTCATAGCAACTTCATGTAGGGCTACCCAGGTAATTCATCATATGCAAATCTTGATGCTGGACCTATGTACACATTTATGGATGTGTTTTTTTAAGCAACATTTTTTGGATGCATTACCATATGACTCTATAATGTTCTTTGTCAGAAAATTTGGTACCTTTTTTGAAGCTACGGGGAAGCTAAAACCTTCTGTTATGTATTTCCAGCGATGGCTTGATTGACACGCAAATGGAATGATCTGTTGAGTAGAACAAGGTGAGAGGAATTGGATGCCTCTACTCTTGCTTGAATACAAGTTCCCTTCATGTGACTGTTCAAGTTGCACCTTCTTTTGGTACAGGGAAGAGGATGGTCACCAACCTACTGCAACTTTAATCCAAAGGATGCTGCTGTCATGCACTTTTGACCCCACTGAAAACGAAAAAAAAAGGTATGTTATTTTTGTTATTGACATGTATCCATATTTATCATGCCCAAACCTTTAATATGAATTACTTAGCCCCAGTCAATGCCAGGATTTGGTCATTCCATTAGGTTCTTGAAACAGTCTGTCGAGTCTTGCTTTATAAGAAAATATCAAGGATATGGATCTTGGATATCTTACTTTATAGAAGAAGAATCAAGAAAATTATGAGGACTTCACGCGTTAAATGCTTCCTTTAGCTGCAAGCAAAGTTCTTTGGGCTTACAAGCTCCTATCTATTGCAAAAAGATAGCCACCAAAGAGGCTTAGGCCACTTATCTTGAGATGCAGGTAGGCTTAAAAGCATTAGAAGATTAGCTTTATCGTCTTCTCCTCGTGAGCAAAACACATGGTTATCTCCCTTGATCGTTGAACGATTCACGTGGTGTCGTGATTCTTCTTCTTCGATTCTCGGGTTAATATAATAGAGGACGTGTTAAGCTTAGATGATCGAAGATGTCAGATCGTGGAAGCAAACCTCCGACTAATTCTATTCCATAGGATGTGACTTGGTGAGCAGACATTATTGGGGATGTTTGCGATGCTTTGTTCCCATATATACATATATATGCCCTAAATGTTAATATTCGATTCGAATTTGGTCAAAAATATACGATCGAATCAGAGTTGTATGGTTCCGAACCGACCCATATAGTTGACGAGGAACAGTAGTAGGCATAGGAACACGTTGTTGACAGAGACCGGCTTACCTCCATCACATAGCGAGTCAATGTTGGCCTCCTGTCAATATCGCCGCCACAACATATATGTTAATATGAGTTTACTATTCATATTCCTGTAAAATTTCCAAAAATTAATAACCACTGATTTATTTCCTATATATAAATGATCAATTAGAGATACATATGTGCTTGTCCAACTACACACTCCTAACATGAAGAATCATGTTTGATCTTTGATGGTTAGACACTTTGCTCCAAAGCTCATTTTTTCCTGACTTCAAACGTGATTAGATGTGGGAAAAAAAAAGGATGAGGTGGCATCAACTCCATACATCAAATATTAAAATTTATGTAGATAAATAAAATGTATTGTATTTAATATTTTGAAAGGATAGATATATAACGACATCTGCCAATGGAATTGGGTCTTCCTCGCCTCACAATTTGTAAATATTTTATACAGAGCGAGTCAGTTTGAGCCACGTAGCACCGAGTACTAATGCGGACATAAACAAAACAACAGCTGATTGCTCTGAGTTTTCCTCTCTTGCGTTCCAAAGGGGATACTTTTGGCCATTTCTTGCGGCGATGTCTTCGAATCCACGCGGAATTTGATCGGGCCTGTCGATTCCTGAGCGATTCCACCCCACGTCTCCCTATTGAGCTGCGGCTGATCTTTAGATCGGTAAAGGAATTGGTCGATTGGAGGTCCATGGCGGAGGAGGTGAAGGCGACGGCGGTAGTAGATGGGAGGGCGCTGGTGGAGAGGATGGCGGAGGCGGCAGAGGAGATCTCCGCCATCTCGGACTACCGGAACGCGTACAGGAAGCAGTTCTGCGACCTTTCCCGGCGGATGAAGCTGTTGGAGCCCATGTTCCAGGAGCTCAAGGAGAGCAAGGACCCGATCCCGGAGCAGGCGGTGCGGTCCCTTGTGCTGCTCAAACGGGCGCTCGATTCCGCTAGGGAGCTCCTCCGGTTGGGGAACGAGGGAAGCAAGATATTCCTGGTATGTTGACCGCTCGTACGTTTAGCCTGCCACTGAAATGTTGCTTCTCTCTTTACTGCTGTTCTTAGAACTAAGTCGATTTCAGCTCAAGAAAAATTATTTCTTTAGATCTGATCACGTAAATCGAATTTTTCTAATTATTATGTCCATGGCAGCAACAGTAAAGGATAGGAATATTATGGATTTTGGTTTCACATATTAATTGGAATGTTTGAGGTTTCTTCCGAATGCAAGCTTCTGCTTTTCAGGATGAAAATTAGAGCTTTGATCCGAAGGGGAAATTATTCATCTTGATACTTTGTTGGAGTTTTCTTCTTCTCCCTAACTTTTCACGATAAAAATATCAATCAAAATTCAACTTATGTTAGAAAAGGAGATGATAATTTAGATTGAACTATATCTGAATATTTTACACATATGTTCGGCATTGGTATAATATATGAAAACATGTTCTAGAGTTCTTTTTACTCCTAGTAAGTAAAAGCGCATGGTAGTTGTAATTGAGATTCACATGATTCTTACAGGTATGCATTTAAGCTGCCAGAAGCAACCAAATGATGTTTAAGACTGAAGAGAAAAGAAAACCGTTAACCAAATGCTCAGGTTTTATGCAAGCAGGAAAATTAATGATACAAGTGAAAACCAATATTTGAAGTTGTCAAATTTGTCAGAAAAGTTTGCTTTGGCTTGTTAAATTAAGGAAATACACAGATATGAAAGCAGCAGAAGAACAAAAATTACCAAGCAGGACTAAGGCACCGCAGGTCCTTGGGCAAAACAGATCTCACTGATGAAAATTACGGAGTATAAGAAGTCAAAGGTTAATAATAAATCTATTGATCGCTCAGAGTATTCATAACAAATCAAAATAGGGTAATTGTGTTTCTTATTTTAGAACACAGAGTGGTTGAATAGTATAGTTTTGTCTTCTATTAATCATCGAATCAAACAGCTAAAGGATATTTTTGGGTCTTTAACAGTTCTGTAACAATGCATCAGAAGGGTGTAGAATGTAAAAATAAACCTAGAGTTATCACGTTGATGGTGACACTTGGTTCATTGAGATTCAATAAGGTATCTAAGCATACATATGAAGTGTATGAGCGAACTGTAACCAATCAATTTAAGACTGATTTTCTTCAGCTGCTGATTTCTTACTGTGCATATAAGAAGTTTGTTACAGCATATATAATAAATTATCAACAAGATCCTTAGTCTCAGATATTATGTCTCAAGGAATAAATTATCTAGAATTGCACATATAACCTGATTTACATTTTCAATTATTAGGACATGCTACCTAACACCTGCACTCACCAAACAATGTTAACATACAACCTTTTGTGAGCGTCGAGTGAGTCCATGCGTAAGGCAAACTGCATGGATAATACGTAGTGTTAGCTAATACACTATTGTTTCTAAAACAATGTTGGTAGTCCGGGATATTAGTTCTATTTTGCTTTGGAAGAGATTGATGATTGACATCTAAGCTGCCCGTGTCAAGCATACGCTATTACAGCATTTTGGTTGGGCTTGGTATGCTGTTTGTATTTGGATGCCTTTCATTTTAGCTTAAACAGTCATTTTTTATGCTCTTGCTCATGAACGTTTCCTGGCAGGAGCATCTGGCACTTATTTTTTCCTTGAAAGTTCTGTTTTTCTCTTGGTTTTGCAAACCCTAAATACATAGTGGGTTGTTTAAATTTGACCGTCCCCATGTAAGAATTGTGTACATATCTGTGGGTGCCTATGTGATTTAGGTTCTGGAAAGGGAGAAAACTACAAAGAGGTTCCTGGAGGTCACTGTTCAACTGGAGCAGGCGCTGAGCGAAGTTCCTTTTGATATGCTAAACATATCAGATGAAGTTAGAGAACAGGTAAAACTATTTGTCAAGAAATTTAGCTTTTTGAGAGTATTATAGTAAAGTATTTGTTTATACGGAACTTCAATTGTTTTGAAGAATTCCATTGTACTTTACAGCCTCTATTATCAGTAACAGTAGAGGACCATCCCCCTTACCTCCTTGTTATTTATTTTAAAATCCAATACTCACCAAGTGTACAATTGCATCCAAGGTTGAACTTGTGCATGCCCAATTCAAAAGAGCCAAAGAACGGGTTGACATGATCGACATGGATCTACACAGAGATCTTTTATCTGCTTACAACATGAGCACTGATGCCAATGTGGACCAATCAACCCTGCGTAGACTGGCTGAAAAGTTGCAGCTGTTAACTATATCAGATCTCAAACAAGAATCACTAGCATTGCATGAGATGGTAGTTGCGAGCGATGGAGATCCTGGAGAGATAATAGAGAAGATGTCAATGCTGCTAAAGAAGGTAAAGGATTTCATGCAGACTCAGAACCCTGAAATGGGCACACCTACAAATAAAGGCCCTCTCCCGTCCAATGAAAGGGCCAAGCCTCCTGTTATCCCGGATGATTTCCTCTGTCCTATATCCCTGGAGCTAATGAAAGATCCAGTGATCGTGGCTACCGGACAGGTCTCTGTATAAGCTTGGCTTTCATTTTTTTTAAAATGCAAATTCTGAGTTTTAACTTTGTTACTGCTTTCCGTTTGTGTCTCTACAAGTTGCACTCAGTTCTCTTTTTCTGCTTACACAGACTTATGAACGGGAGTCCATAGAGAAATGGCTTCAGGCAGGACATGACACATGCCCGAAGACTCGACAAAGGCTGTCCAACAAATCCTTGACTCCAAATTATGTGCTGCGCAGCCTTATAATGCAATGGTCCGAGGCAAATGGTTTTGATCCACCCAAGCTCCCTGCTCAGACAGCCAAGTCCCGACCAACCTGCTCATCAGGAGAACATGCTAAGGTTCTTGATCTTATTAGCAAGCTGTCATCACGGAGCATTGATGATCAACGATCAGCTGCTGCAGAGCTCCGCCTCCTTGCACGGCGCAGTGCTGAGAACCGTCTCTGCATAGCTGAGGCTGGTGCCATACCCCTCCTTGTGAAGTTATTATCTACCCTTGACGTGCACACGCAGGAGAATGCTGTTACTGCTCTTCTAAACCTCTCCATATTCGAGGACAACAAGGAAAGGATCATCATCTCAGGAGCTGTGCCTGGAATAGTGCATGTGCTGAGGAGGGGCAGCATGGAAGCACGAGAGAATGCTGCGGCCACACTGTTTAGCATCTCAGTGGTGGATGATTATAAGATAAGAATCGGTAACTTGGGTGCAATTCCTCCACTTGTTTCTCTGCTCCGTGAGGGCAGCCCAAGAGGCAAGAAAGATGCAGCAACAGCATTGTTCAACCTGTGCATATACCAAGGCAACAAGGGAAAGGCTGTGAGGGCTGGAGTCGTCCCAATACTGGTGGGACTGCTGATGGATCCAGAAGCAGGCATGATGGAAGAGACCCTCGCGATACTTGCAATTCTCTCGAGCCACTCTGAGGGCAAGGCAGCAATTGCAGCTGCTGAGGCGCTACCTGTGCTTGTGGAGGTGATCAAGAGTGGGTCACCCAGAAACAAGGAGAATGCAGCTGCTACACTGTTGCACCTCTGCAGTGGGGAGCAGCAGCAGCAGCATCTGGCAGAGGCACACGAGAAAGGACTGATGGGCCTACTGCAGGAAATGGCAGAGAATGGGACCGACAGAGGCAAGCGAAAGGCAGCGCAGTTGATCCAGCGCATGAACAGGTTCTTGGAACAAAAGAGAGTGGCTCAAGCTCAGGCTCAGGCACTAGTGAAGCAGTCGGGCAATCCAGCTTTGCCAGATTTTGATTACAGATGATTCATAGTTATAATCGGAGTGCTGTTTATTGAAATGATGGTATCTTTGCAATGTTTGGAGGTGGAAGATCACCTTCTCTGACGATCTGCAAGTTATTGGTTTGTTACTATGTTCATGTGAGGGGCTTCAAGTGAGTCAGGATCCATAAGGGACACCTTCAAGAGTAGGAATTATGGAGTTGATTCTTTGAACACTCGACCATGGTGGCCATCTTATGCTATGATCCTCGATTAAACGAGTATAATATTTAGTAGTAATTAGATCTAAGACTCCTCAAATTTCTGTATATTTATCATAACTAAGGCATTTGAGAGTGAAAGTTGCCTGTGGCATGGCTATATTCTTCTATGAGTGTGACTTGGCAATGAATTTGTGTTCCATCACAGTGTAGATCTGGTCATGTATTCACTTGAGTCTCCTTTTTTTGGTTATATTCTTGTGATTAGCACATAAAGAAAAAGGAACAATGCAAGTTAATATACCCTCATAACATGATTGTTTTTTTATAAAAGAAGTAATTTTATTACATTAAATGACATATATGATAGTCATATAACTATCATATATGATAGTCATATAAAAGAAGTAACAGTACGCAAACTAACCCAATTACCTCAACAAATTACATATCATTTTCCTTATGATCTTAAGCAAGAAAGGTAATACTCAGTATGGCTCATAATAATACATGATGAAAATATTAACCAATATATCTTACACAGTTTATTTAGAAAAGTCTCAAATAATTAATTTTTACTCATAACATCCCTCTATCTTTGAACCTGTTCAAGTCAACTCTATGTCCGTCTCAATCTCTTCCATCTCGGGATGATGGAATAAGAGGAGAAGAAAGAAAAAGAGGCAGAAAGGACAATCGCAACGGAGGCATAATGAAAAAGAGGGGTGCTTAGAAAAAAAGGAGAGAAGATGGAATCGAACTAATCTTTTGGTTTGACAAAAATCACAAAAATAAGATTAAAAATTCAAAGATATATTTATTCGTTTATATAAAAAAAGATGGAGGTCATCCAGTAAAACCAATCAGTGAAAGGTTTTCTAGATAATTTGCCCATATATTATATGGTAAAAACCAATGTGAGCCATCACACACCTCATACATGGTGAAGTATGCATCATAAGTCAAGGACACTGATATACTTTTAGATCCTGGAAAAACAGTGGTAAAATTTCCTAATCACATCAAGCTCGAAGATTTAGAGGAAGAGCTAAACATTTGGCATGAGGAACATATAATCATTGACCATACAATGACTATATGAAAACAAACCTGAATTGTGCAAAGGTTGTAGCCTATACTGTGGAAAAGAGGTTCTAAGATTGTTCCATGGGTTAAGCAAGACTTAAAAGATAGATCTTTTTTGTCAATGATGATACAGACATGATGAATGCATAAGGTAGGAAGAGCTTGAATGAGACACCCAGTGTCTCTGGCACACCTGTGGCATGTAAATCTAGCCATGAAATCTCGGCAAATGATGTTGACTGATGAAACAAGAGGAATCCAACTAACAGAAGTTTGAACAATTAATTGAAAAATGTATCTTAAAATTTTTCACTTTAAAAATAAAGAATCACAAGAAAAAGATAAGTCCACGATTCATCCAGAAGAAAAAAAAATATGATAAATAGTTGGTTAGGCCTATCAAAAGCTAAGAAGATAATATCCTCGATAGCATTCAAATAATTAATCTATATAATGTCGATGAATACTTGACAAACTTTCTTTTATGAAAAAATATCAACTAGACTTCTTTAAATCGTTCTCTTACACTTAAGACTTTTCACATTCCTTCTTTTTATCCCTTTCTCTGCATCTTTGTATGCTAAGGCACGTATCATATATACATGTTGTAGAGCAGGCCTTAATATCTCCATTTCACCTCAAGTTGCCACTGTAAGATCTTCCATTATTGATAGTTCCCTTCTTTCAGACGTAGTCTTATCTTGACAAAGTCCACCATCATCATTTATGATATTTTTATAATCATTCGATCTTACTAGCAATATAAAGTCTATTCGCTTCTTTCAAGATATACTATCGCTCTCTTCGTGTAAGTTTCTTTTATTTCTTGATATGTGGGGCGTCAGGCAAAGAGAAAGGAAAAGCAATTACCGTCGTCTCGGAGCGAACATAATCATATAGTTTCCTACGTACCACCCTCAGCTTCATCCTGATCTATCTCAACTCAATTGAACATTCAAGGCCTATTTCATTCGTCTTGGGAGGTAAGACAACAATGTAATGCAACATAGACAAGAAATAATACTAAATCAACATGCAAAGTAATCTTAAAAGGTTGCTACTCCAAAAGAAAAAGAAAAATACTCGTTGCTCCAAAAGTTATAGAGGACATCCACCTTCCGATAATACACAAATTTCTTTTATGCGTCTCAGAGCATTTTAAGAAGTTATGCTTACATAATCTCATGAAGATTGAACCATGTTCTGTGAGCTCACTAGACTGTTTTAGTAGCATTCAGTACAATCATGTCTACAACATCATCAACAACAACAACCCAACCCATAGCAGCAGTCAACTGTTATCTCCCACAAAGATCGAATCTAACTCATAAAAAGCAAGTAGTTTCACCTGATGTGTGTCAATTCTTGCAGAATATTTCTAATATGTTATCTTCATATTAATATTCTTCTTAAATCCAGTAAAATTTACTAAAACCTTCAAAACTAAATTTTTTCCTATTTTGATATTAGACTAGAAGAAGCAAGAGATCGCAGTCACATAAAATGCTTCACAAACAAGAAGGCTCCTCTTCCAAAACCTAATATAAAGTTTAAGCATAGGAAACATAATCTTTATCTATATAAGAGAAGAAAATTATGCTTTCTTTTCTTAAACCTAGTATAATGGATAAATTTATCTAGTTACTATATGTAGCTGGATGAACTTGACAAACATCCATGATTATAACAAATTCAAAGCATCTTGATCAATAATCAATGTCTTATTAAAAAGGATAAATAATTATACTTAGTTGGTCGGGCAGGTGGGCGGGCGACGAATCGAGAGAACTAATAATTGTCGACCCAAGAGAGATAGTGACAGGAGGAGATACCAGGTAATTATTCAAACGGTTGAGAAACGAGTGTTGAACTGCTTTTGATTGAGTGCGACTCGGATCTCCATAGTTTGGCGCAAAAGTACTAAAATGAAAGAGACAAGGAGGGGGGGTTTATTTCATTTCAATAGCAAATTCTATAGCAAGGACGAGGGCGACGACAAGGATGAGACTTCTTGATTGTACTATCACCGGAGGCAATGGAAAAATAGAAATTTGAGCGTCAATCACCTCGATATGAAGCCTAATCCTGTACAAACAAATACAATGATTTAAATTGACAGTCACACCCACGAGTTTGAACTCAACCTAGGTCGAATGAGCTTGGGCAGCCTTTCGAGCCACGAGATATGGTTTATCATTCAAGCTTAATTCAAAGTTTGAAAGTAGCCCCCGCAACCATACCAGCCGCATCATAACGCCACTACTCTTCCTTGCTCTGGCGGGGCCATTATATCTACCCATGAAATGTAAGGTACCGAAAAGGGTATTCGACTTGCAGGTACCAAAGTATTTTCGCCATCCTGAGCCAGTTACTTAATCAGACTGGATCTAATTTTGACTCCCATTATTTTTCGTCAAACAAGGCGACCTATTTCAATCAGAATAACTATATACTATTGGCTGTCTCTGTTGACTATTGGTTGGTTTTGCCAGCAGGTATGGAAAGATGACCAGCATTCACATTGACTTTAGGCATTAGACACCAATAAATCCACTTCTAGACATCTCTTCAGACGTACACATACTTCATGTCGAAGAGTGGCATACATTTTAACAGCCATGAAGGCTGAGAACTCGATAATTGTTCCTTTATTTCATCTTCAAATAGTATTTCAGATTGATAGTGCCATGTTCCATAAGGTGGAACGGTGGACTATATATTCTTGCAGATGCATGTTACTTACTTCAACATTTATTTTTCCTGTATTTATCCCTACATTTTCTTGCGTTACAGACAGTGAACATGTCAAAGAGATTCAGTCCCACATGATGAACAGACTCACGCACAGAGAGATATATCGATTGAGATCCCGAGTGTAATAGTTTAAGCTTTTGCTGACTTTAATCATGATGTGAGAGAGATAATGTTTCCAAGTTTGCATGGTTGCGTTGATATCAAATTATATTGTGCACGATCAGTTTATATCACTTTGTTTTGAGATCCATCAAACGAGAAATAAAATGAAGCTACCGGTGCTTCTCATATGGATCACAACATGTAGGTTCAAGAACTCTTTATTCGCTTCTTCATATGGATTACAGTAGCATCATCACTTTCTTCACCATTAACAGGAGAAGAAAACAAGATGGCCTATGGATGCAAGGTGGCCTTGTAGTAGGTACCAACTGCGGCAGTAGTTTTGGTGGAGTCGAGAGGGAAATAGAAGGGATAAATCTCGTAGCGCACCATGCAGCTGCTGTAGAGAACCCGGCAACCCTTCCGGTGTTGGCAGTAGTCAGGGAACATCTCGACCGCCGACGACAAGCACTGGGCGCACGTCAGCTGCTGCAGATCGCGCGTGCACTGTGCCAGCGCGTAGATGGTGATGTAGGGGGTGAACTGCAGTTTGGCCCTCCCGAGCGCGTTGTTCCCCGGCGCCACCGCGTCCGCCCTCGCCCGGCGCATCACCACCCCCACCTTCTTGTCGAAGTTCTGGGGGTCCGTCGCGTTCTCCACGTTGTAGAGAATGGTGGCCACGCTGGTGTCGGACTGCCCCACGAAGTTCTCGTTGTCGTAGCGCATGAAGCAGTAGTCGTACCAGATCCGCCCGTCGGCTTGGCTCGGGCATGCCGTGGTGGGGAGCTTTTTCGCTGCGTCCGCCAGGCACGTCGAACAGTCCTCCGCGCTGACGTCGCCTCTGCATTGTGCGAGGCCGTAGATTCCACTGGCTCCTTTGCCAGAAGAAGCAGTCGCAAAGCCACCAACGGAGGCACTCGCGACGAGGTCGGCGAGGACGTGATCGATGTTGGCCTGGGTCTGCTTGCTCTTAAAGCTCTTGCTGCAGTACTGCGCGATGGAGTCTGCAGCAGCAGCCGATAATGGAAGCAAGAGAGAGAGGAGGAGGAGACGCTGAAACAAAGCCATTTGGATAAGGCTAAGATCTGCGAGCTCCATTGGCCGGCCACCCAGCATGTTATATAGAGTGGATGCACCATTTGCAGCATTTGTTGACCATGGATTGATTCAAACATGATTGGTGGAGGCGAAGAAGAAAGATACGAACTCCAAACAGTTGCATTTGTAT